CAGCTCTTGGAGCCACTCTAAAGTACTGCCCTTGCCTCCCCCAGAGCATGTGTAACAGTGCCCTTGAAAGGGTTTGCTGATGAGGGCGATGAGCCCATATAGCAGCAGAAGACAACTATCAAGGTTATAAACTTTGAAAGAGAAGTAGAAAGTGAAGTGAACAGTATATGTCAGGATGTAATAATACTGGCAGCTGAGAGTTTGTGCAGGCAAGGAGTGCACTAGGCAATGAAAGGCACCTTCTGATATGCAACCAACATGTTCAAAGTGCTGTCAGGATGTATCAACAGTAAACAAGCTGTTACAGAATAATTAAGCCTTATTATCTATGCTACTCCTCACAAATTGGCCAGTCATCAAATTCTCAGGCATCAAATTCTCAGACACCCAGGACGTCATTCTTCCATTGTACTCAGCCTTGGTGAGGCCACAGCTGGAGTACTATGTCCAGTTTTGGGCTCCACAATTCAAAAAGGATGTGGAGAAGCTTGATCAGAGGTCAGGAAAACAGACCTTATGACAATAGGCTAAGAGCTATGGGACTCTTCTGCCTGGAAAAGCACAGGCTCAGGGGTGATCAGATGGCCACCTATACATTTATAAGGCATGTCCACCAGGATCTGGGGGAACGTTTGTTCACCAGAGCGCCCCAAGGGATGACAAAGTCTAACCATTTTTAACTCCTGCAAGACCGTTTCTGGCTGGACATAAGGAAGAATTTCTTCACTGTCTGAGCCCCCAAGGTCTGGAATAGCCTGCTATCTGAGGTGGTTCAAGCACCTACACTGAACGTCTTCAAGGGAAATTTGGATGTTTATCTTCCTGGGATCCTATGACCCCAGCTGACTTCCTGCCCCTGGGGCAGGGGGCTGGACTCAATGATCTTCCGAGGTCCCTTCCATCCCTAATGTCTATGAAATATGAAATCTATGAAATCTATTTAAATGATTAAAGCAAACAGGCAGCAACTGTGTCATTTGGCAATCTGCAGAACAACAGTTCATGTTTCTACAGCTGGATGAAAGACCAAAGCAGAATCAATCCAAGGTCCTCATGCAGTATTTTCATGTTGAGTCATTATCACCTGTGGATGTTGAAGTGTGACATGGAAGTTCCCTACTTAGAAGGAGGGATCAGTCCAGCAAGGCTTGCTAACTCTGGTGCCATAATAAGGTCATCTAGATTTTTGTGACAGACAGTAAATCAGAAAATCTCATGTCTGAAGATACACACAGGTCAAAAAGGAAATGAGATATAAATCACAAAGGAACAGACTGTACTAAGTGAAAGGCTCTACAGTAGTACATTGTTGAGGAAGCAGTATCTTGCATTCTGATGCACAAGCATGAGATAGAGTAAAGATGGGCAAGCGTAAAGCAGAAAGCTATCATTTTGGTTGTATCATACTGTGATTACAGCTGCAGATTAAATTCACATTGATAATCTGTAGTAAGCAAACCATATTTAAGAAGGAAATCTTCCAGTCAGTTCCCAGCTATATACAGAACAGTGCAATATTTCATTTTAAACAACACTCGCATTCTCCCTCCACCCTTATATTAAAATAGGAATAAATTCCAGGACCAAAGCAAATACCATTACTAACTCTGATTTATTTTTTGGCTCTATATTAAGGAAAATGAACAGGGTAGGTTTGTTTTGGGCTCTACCACAGCATGAGCAAGAGTCTGAATATCTGCTGTTGCTGACCATGACCAAATAAAACTACACTTGCTGAGAGGTGCAATGTGTTGGGAAGTACATAAAAAGTACATTCCTGTTTTTCCACCTGTCTTACCTATAAAGGACTCTGACTCTAAGCAAGTAGATGAAGCACAGGTAAGATCTCTGTATGACAGATTCAGTAGCCAAGACCAAGTAAAACAATGGCCAAATACCATTAGTAAACTAGGCACCCAAATGCGACTTTGGTGGAATTTAGATACTTAAGTAACAAAGTGCCTCCACCCTCCTTCCCCACCCCCATCCCAGAGCCATGAAAGCTTTGAATGGGCTAAATTCACTTAGTATCTACATTTTTTACTGCAAAGACCCCTCAACGTCTGAGCAGGTAGGCACAGTCTAAGCACTCAGACACCTTTCCCCATCTGAACTCCTTTGGGATCCAGACACAACACAAATGAATACCTAAACTCTACCTAACTCCTCAGAGGGGGCCTCTGTTAAGGGGCCTCTGAGCACATCTAGCTCAGGCTAACAGCACTAAGTTCAGTACAAAGTGCAGGAGCTACAATCTCTATTACTAGAAAACACATCTGAGTGGTGATGCCATTACCCACCTCTTGAACAGTAACCTATTAGGGCATTTGTCCAGGAAGAGAGAGTCCCACGTTCTTTCTCCCCTTAACCAGAAAGGAATCAAGCACATATCTCCCATCCCCTGGGAAAGTGCCCTACCCACCAGAGTTTTGAGTGAGGGAACCCTCTCCCTCTCCTTTACATCACTGTGCAGCCAGTAGTAGTAGAGTCATGGTACCAAAGGACAGCAAACAAAAATAACCTGAATAACTTTGTCGTTCAAACAATCCAGTATGAGAAGCTGACGAGGTTCCAGTTACTGTGCCTGGACCTTTTCTGCAATGGATAAATCAATTATCATTGGAGAAAAAAACAAAACAGAAGTCACTCCAAAAACAGCAAGAAAAGGATTTTCATCTCTGAATGCCAAGTAGATAGAGGTATCCCTGTGGCAGACACTTCAGAGATGGAGAGGGGCAGGGATTCAGGCATGCCCCTTGGCTCAGCATTTCTTATTGGTGTGTACCAGGAAGCTCCCCAGTCAGTGTGATGGCTCTTTCCTCTTGGAGATGCCTAATACTGCCCATTGACAGCATAGGGCACAAGGCACCTAACCCTGTTGGATAGCATCACCCTCCTGGGGCCAGATGCCTAATTTTTAGGTATTGTAACATCTGAACTGAATACAGCTAAGGAACCTAATTTGGATTTTACCCTAAAGACTTTGCTGGATTGGCCAAATTTACACTTGCTGTAGCAGCCAATCGAAACAATTCAGTGTACTACTACTGTAGAGTCTCCCTTACTTAACTTTGGCTTTCCCCCCCTCGTTTCCCTCCTCCCTTCCCTGCTGTACCATTTATTTTCCTAATTTCCACCTATTTACAGTCTCACTGACATCCCATCACACTCTTAGATTCTTTCATTCCTTGGAGTCTCAGACCAGCAGAGACTCCCTATACCTGACGAAGGGCGATTGCGCCTGAAACCTTGCTAAGAACTGTTTTCCAGCTACTCAGTTGGTCTAATAAAAGATATCACTTCTACTCAAAGAACCTTGCCAATTTACTTCCTGAGGAACTGATAAGGCTCACAGAAGCCAGTTGCTCTTGGCATTACAAAGTGCTAGAAATGTAAAATTGAAAGTTGAACCTAGACTCAAAGTTAAGAATATATTTGCCAAGGCTTAAATTGAAGCTGTCACACAGAAGAATTAATGGCATGTGCAGTTCAAAGCCCTGATTCTCTCATTCAATCCATGCCAGTGAATGGACCCTACACAAGTATAGATCCTCCCTCCTCAGAGGAATAGGGTTCTTCAGTCCTGTTTATATGGAGTCTGGGGACCAAATCTGTAAAAATACCCTGGACTAATTCTCAATGAAAATTCACATCCAGAGCTGGAAGTTTTCATATCCAAGCACACTTCAATTCTGCACTGACATTAAAGTTTGATTAATTTTTCAAAATGTGGGGGGAAGAAAGATTCTTAAAATTATATATAAAATGCAACTTAGCCAATTAAATCCATATGATCAAAAATGTTTCTGTGCTGTACAAGGTCCACATGGAAATGCAAGAAAGAGCTTTGTAAGACTTCATGGGGGGGGGGTGTTTACCACAAACTAATTTAGACCAATAAGAGGGCATTTCTTTCCCCAAAATGGAACTTTTCCATCTTAAAAAAAAATCAATCAAAAAGGGATGTTGACAATTTCAAATATTTTTTAAAAAACTCAAAACAGGATATTTATCAAAACTAGCCTTGCTTCTAGTGAATCGGCATTTTAAAGGGGAAAAGTCAGCAAAAAATTTCAAATAGGCTCTGTTTATCACTAGAGTTGGTCATCTTTTCTTTGCTTTTTTTTTCTTTTTTCGGGGGGATAGAGAGAGTGGGGCACAGGAGAAGGTGTAGTTGAGATTACCATTTTATCCTGAAACAAACTTTCCTGCAACCATTATTTGTTTTGATTTAATGGATTGCATATTTAACATTTTATAGAAATGCTATCAAAATGGTTATTGTATTGGAAAACTTCATGATTATAAAATTGTGATCAAGTTTATAGAGTGCTTTAAAATGTTTTGTTAAAATTTATATTAGAAATTATACCCCAAAATATAAAACCTGTGGGGGAAAGGTCTTTGTAATTTTGATTTTTTCCTAATGTTTTTCTATTTGGTAAGCAGTTCACCTACAACTTTAATTATGGATTTATTCTGATTACATTATAAGAATAAAGTGTACATAATAAGTGTTAACAAGTCAGCGTTTGATAAATTACGATTTTTGTCCAATAAGCTTAGAATTAGATGTGATGACTGACTGATAATCATTGGCAAATGTTGGTGTTTCCATGACTTCTACCAAATCTAACCCAGTTCTGTGATGACTAATAATCACTCTGAATATTGTTAATAAATTACACGAATGACATAATATTCATAATATCTGTAATTAATGTATTATATTTCAGTTCAGATTTACTTCATCAGTTACATTAGTACTATTTTTCTTAATTCAAGCAAATTGTTTGAAACCCATGATCCTTGTATGGTGTTTGCCATTAAGAGAAAAATCTTTATTTAACAGCAATTACTATAGCAAGGTAGGTAGTGTTGGTGTGATGTTGTTATGATGACCCAGAAATTACACAGGGCAGAGATTTTATGGGTGATAACTTTTATTGTACCAACTGCATATTGCGCACAAGAAGTTATGTGAGTTAGCTAGAGTGTTACAGATGATGAGTCCCTTTGGGATAATATTATGTTTCTTGCTGGAGTTTAGCAAGATGTAACTTGGCTTCTTTTTTCTTTGAAGTAGTGGATTTTCCATTGTAAGGGCAGATTTTGATATCTTCGACATATTGGTAGTGGAAGAGTGATGTTGTAATCCAGGAATTATATGAGAGGTAAAGATTTGTAGGTGGTATGTTATTCCTTCTCACATCCAAAAGGATAGGCTTATTCTTTGAAAACTGTTGGTAAATATTGATCTTTTAATAGCAGCTACAGTAATTGGACAAGTTTGAGGCAAAAACGTTGAATATAAAAGAACGAGTTTCACGAAACTGGTAATTTTGCAATTAATTTCATTAAACCATTTAATTTAATTAAACTTAAGTACTACTCATTTTTTCCTATACTGAAATTATTCTCAAACTTGAATATTTAGAGCTTCAATTAAAAAAGCAGGTCTTTCTGTTCCAAGCATAGGGAAATAGTACTGAATCAGGTATAAATTAATGATAAATCTAATCTAGTAATTTTAAGAAATTAGGTTTCAGATATATTTTTGTACATGATATTCACACACCCTTACATTCAATTTTATGTTGAGTTAATGATTCAGCAGTACAAAAATAATTACTTTTTTCTTTACTGAATCGGTGAAAAAAAGGAGATTAATATAATGTAGCATTTTAATTAAAATTTTCATTCTTATACAGACAAGCTTTGTTATTGGTATTCTTGTAATTTAGCTGAATTTCATTAAGATATTTAGCTTGTAATAGTTGAAGTGACAGATTATGACAAAGCTGTGAAATTTCCTGCATACTGTGATGTTTGGTGCCTGAATTTTCACGCCACGGCACTAACATGAAAAGGTACAACAAAGTGCTATCAAAGGAAATAAATGCAGTGGAAATTCACAGCTAGAACTCAAGCATTGCTCTCATAGATTATGCATTGATCCCCATGCTTCTTCCCAAAAAAGCTATTATGACCCCTACTGTTTTCAAATGGGTTGCATATTTTAAATAGGTGTAACAAGTGGGCCTTTCCGGGGCCGGTTAGACATTGGCCCGCCCACCTGTTTCTGGGCTTCTCTCGTCTGCCATGCCTTGTTGATACATAATTATGGTGTTAATTAGCTGGGAGGCTGCCCATTTTCCTGCCCCAATGCCAGGGGGCACTATCTGTGGCTCCGTTCCTCCCCTGCACCACAGCCCAAGCCTCGCAGGTATTCCCTCCAGCTAGCTAATACTGAGACCCAAGCTCTGGAGCCTCACCAGGACTTTCACTCCCCACTGGAGCTCCTGGTCCCCACACCCTCACACTGGGTTTACTTGGTACACACATAAAGCAACATACACTGAGTCCCATGCCCACGCACTGGGCTCCAACCCCACACATATACTCTCAGGGCTCCAACCCCTGTCCCCAAGTCCCCCCAGGAAATCCCCTTATCCCTGGCCCTGGAAGCTTCCTTAATAGCTCCCCAAGACTCAGGACCCCACCCCCCTGGAGCTTCAGGCTGGCTCCTATATGCAGCCTCAGACCTCCACTGCAGAGTCTGGGTGCTGCCACAGGTCCTTTCATCAATGTGAGCCCTGCCTCAGTGCTCTACAGTGAGCCTGGGCCCCCCTTGCTTCATCTTGCCCACCAGGGATGTGGGAGCTGGGGTTATTAAGGTGGCCTGAACTGCCTTTCACCAGGGTGGTATCTGGCCTGGTATTTCCTGGGGGCTCCCACACCACTGGGAGCCCCACCAGGCTACCCACTCCTGGCAGGGTGCGGTTTTAGATCATGTCCAGGACCAAGAGCCTCCTAGCTATCCCCATCAGGTCTTGCCCTTACCTTCTGGGTTGTTCCTGCTGCAGCTCAGCCAGGCAACATCATCAAGAATTCAAGAGGAGGCCAGTGCAAGTCAGCCTGGAGACCACAAGCTAGTGAGATAAAAAGCAAAAAAGTCAATACACACAAATGGCATGCACATATATAACATGGTCATGAAAACCTCTAAAGAACTCCATGTCTGTGAGTTCTTTAGATGGAAGAGTGGTGATAATGTTGCCAAGCAGAGGAGAAAACAAAGTCAAAACAAGTTAAAGGCTTAAATTAGGGGCGGGCTGGTGGAATAATGCTCCACTTACAATGGTAAGAGTTATTTGCAATAAGGATACTACAAAGCAATTCAGGTTAATTGCCCTTAACCCTTTGAGCAAAGAGGGGCAAGAAACAGGAGGAGCCTAATGTCCACCCACTCTACTCACTAGCAAGCATCAGTAAATCAGCAATTTCTCTCTGGCCTAACTTTTTTTGTATAAGCCAATGGTGAAGTACTGTCCCACGGGGAAAGGAGAAAACAAGGTAGCATAACCAGGGCAGGGTGAGAGGGGCACCAGCCCTGAGCACCAATTTAGAGTGGGTATGAGAAGCATCCTGCAGCACTGAGTGCCCCTTCTCTATGGTGCTTGGCACCTCTCTCTCCAGTGCTCTGCCAAGAGCACCAAAATTGCCAAGTATGTCTGAATAAAGGGCAAATAAGTTCATTCTGCGTGTAAATCACAGTGCTTTGCCGAGCTGTTTCTTGGATTATGGTACAATTTATGCACCAACCCTTGGGCTGTGCCTTACATCACAATCTAGCCATCAATAAATATAACAGAAGAAAAAATGCAAAAGACATCTAATTTCTTGGTATCTGCTTGGTCTTAAGTAAGTCAATGCCTGAGTGATAGAAAAGATCTATTGAGATCAAGACCCTGGGAAATATAGCTAGCCATATTAGCCTGAAATCAACTGGAAGAGAGGGTAGATTTGCACTTTACAGACTAAACAAAGTCGAATACATATCTGACATATGTATTTCTAATTATTTAGTCTATATAGTCTTTTCATCAGATCTAGAACCAGCCCTCAGTGGAAGGACTCAATACTTAAGAGTGACAGAGCCACCATCTATTTGCCTATTTGCATAGGCAAATAGAACTCATTGTGAAAATGCTTTTTCTGGTTTTCACCTTATTTTTTCCATTATTTAATTTGATGCCAGTACTCCTAATAAGGTATTTCTATTTTATTAGGCTAAGAAACACGTCTACCTCCTTGCTTTCACCAATTACATCTTTGTAGGTTTCATGAACGCTCTTTCCTCACCATCTCTTATCTCCCATCTCCTCATCTTGTTACACTTTTTTTTTTTGGTAGAGATGCTCAAAAATTAATGCAGTATCTGAGCTATGTGGGCTATTATAGATGTGTTCATGATGTTATGTCTGAAGATCAAAATAGTATTGGCTTTTTTTTTGGAACCATCTGAAAAGGCAAAACAATGTGTAACCGAGAGAGAGTGCATGCACTTTCCAAACTTATTTCAATTGCTTTAAAGTGCTTAACCCCCAGCCCACAGGCCAGAGGAGTGCAGATGGGTTCCCTGCAGGTCCAAAACTTTGGCAGCAAGGGAGAGGTGGCACTTCTACTCCCAAAATTCTGGACCCCTGGGGAACCTGGAGTCCTCCATGCTAGATGGTGTATGCAATACTGGTACATAGGGCCTGATAGTGGTATGTAAGCCCAAGTGAGGGTGGCATGGCTCTAATCCTTGCCCTGGGACCTGGAGCTGGGCACAAGCAGAACAAAGCACAATCCAGCCCAAAAACTGGTTGGTCCCACACCACTCATCTGGCCTGCAGGGCCAGAAGTTTGAATACTGCTGGTTTATAGCATTCTTAACTGGCAGACCTGTTCTAAGAAAAAGTCTATGCAAGGAGTTAATTCTTTTGGAAATCTCATTTAATGCAAAAAGATGCCCTATACCAAAAAAACTTGCTGGATTGGTGTTTGTCTTGCTTTAGTTTCTATTCAATTAATACCTCGAGTATCAGTGTCCCTGGATTCCTGTGGCTTTTCAAATCTCAATTTCACTGTTAGTCTGAATTAATCTTTCTTGGTGATTAATCAACTGTATTTCCTCCTGGTGTTTGTGACAGCTAGTCAAGAACTTGGGTAATGATGCTACAGGGTGCCGGGTTGTATACCTGATATAAACAAAAAACGTGTCTCCTTTGTGTCCATTATCGTTTCTATTAGTCAGCTTGCTATGATATAATGACACATGCAGATAAGGACTGACAGAAAGCCAAGAGTTGATTGTAGGTCTGACTATCACCAGGAGCCTGGCATTAATCAAGATGCTACAATGGTTGGATTTATTGTGCAGCACTGCCTGAACAAGTTGGATCTGGAACACATATCAGGCTGCAAATAATGATATAGCATAATACAATACAATACAACACAGCTCAGTGTGAACTGACACATTGGAACCTGTAATTTATTGCTTAATAAAAGATAACCTGTAGACCTGTTGCACAGCGATGAATGAAGGGCGTCCAACAGATTTGTAAATATTCTCCCATGTCTAGCTGAAATGTGCCCATCCTCTAAAACAGCACAGGCCCAAGAAAATTACTTTGTTATTTTTCTTTAGTCTCAATGGTAATTCTCAAATCCCAGGTCCAATTGATTTTCCAGGCCATCCAATTCCAAAGCTAATCTGAGAAATAGAATATACGAAGATAACAATGGAATTAGTCTATGTTCCAGAAGTAAAAAAACATGAAGAATCTGACATGTCAATATTTTTAAACAAACAGAGAATTGATAAATCGTCAGGATTTTTAAAGATTGAGTAGTGATTTTTTTTTAATTCCATTTGCCTGTACGTACTTGAAACATGCCTGTTACATCTAATATTCAGAAAGTGACAAGTTATACAACACATCAGGATTCTTCAAAGTATTTCAGATCTGGAACCCAAGAATTAAGGCACAAAAATTCTTAATCTCTTGATCTTTATGAGCCTTATATTCTATTCTTCTCCCTTCTATAAAAATGGAAGTGAAAGTGGTATGGATCTGTGAAGAGAGCTAACTGCCTTTTTAAAATCCTAAACAAATTTCTGAAGTTTCACATTTTTTCACTCTAAACTGAAGAAAACAACAATCTGGGGGAAAAAAATTCAAAGGAAAAAATTTTAATTTGGCATCAATAAAAATAATGTTTATAAATTAGACAAGGTTTTATTTCAATTATTTTTATTTATCTCTTCAGATAAAATACTGGATTTTTTAGTCACATGACAATGCAAAATGAATAAAATTGAAGTTTCTCATTCCAAAAGTGTCAAGACATCCCATTTTTACATTTTTAAACATTTCCCCAATTGTTTCCTAAGCAAGTTTCATCAAAATCTATACAATCTTATAGAAACATTTGGCTTTGGAAAATTACATTTGGACAACAATGAAAGTTTTCTGTCCAGCCCCAGCCATGTACAGATCAACAGGGCTTGTTACATAAAAGTTTGAGCATAAGAAAAAAAGAACATTCCAATATTGAAATTCATCCAGAGATTCCACGCCTGGAAAAAATAAAAATATATGGTTTTTAAATCACCTAACATAGGAGTTGATACCTGCTCCAGAGCATTGAATGACGAGAGTCGGCTGTAAAGCACTGCTTTAAAAATGGAGTTAAAATTAGACAACCTGTCATATTAACTGCTCTAAGCTGTATAATTAAGCATAAAGCCATGAGAGATTTAATCAGGTAACTGAAGCAAAGCAATGTGTGGTCCTCCCTCTTAAGGAAAATCCTATTAGGCCTTATTTCTTAATACAAGAGACTATAGAGTAATTATCCATAGGAACATGAACAAAAATTCACAATGCAATACTGTTGCAAAAACATTTTTTGGAGCATGTCCATTCACTACATACTACAACCCTGATGCTGCAAGTCCTTATGCACTGCATGGCCTGTTACTCAAGGTTAATGCATTCCAACGCAACTGTGAGCAGAGGTACCTAGTCACAAAGAAGAAGAAATACAAAAGCCTAGGGCACTGCACAACATGGTAAATAAGGAATTGGAAACAGGAAGAAAATAATAATAGCAGAGGAGACAAGAACCAATTGGTAGTATTAGGATGATGTTGTAGCCCTGATATCCCAGGAATTATGCATGAGGCAAGGATTTCTTAGGGTAATATCTTTTTTTGGAACAACTGAATAGAAGATGTACTTCTTCAGAAGATTCATCTGGCCTGAAAAAGAATGCAAGGTATTCTTTTTCAGGCCAGGCGAATCTTCTGAAGTATATTTTTATTTGAAAGCTTGTCTACCTCTGTTCCAACTATGTAGGTGGGCTAATAATAATAATAATAATAATAATAATAATAATAATAATAATAATAAATTAGTCAACAAAATCCTTACCTCAATTAGATTGTCATTAATTGAGTCTTGGCTAAGTTCAGGTAGTGTCTGCTCCAAGGAAGACCTAGCTTTTCGTCACTGCTGTGTCACAAATATCAAGAAAGACTAATAATCTTCATTATCCTAATGAGGCAATGTACTACGCAGTACTCCCAAGGTCAACACAAGGAATGTGTGTGCTTTGAACTGGCTTTCAGCAACAGGAGTAGCATGGCCAGCATGCAACAGCACATTTTAATTCAGGATAAGTTTCCTCCCACACTCCTACTCCTGGTTGTCACCATTACTGCATCCCCTCCTTTCCCCTTTGTACTGTGAAAATTTGGGTACTTTTTTGTTACACCCCTCTAGAATATGAGTTGCATTTCTGGCCTTTAAAAATATAGCAGGGGGACAACAGAAAGAAAGAAGATCAGGATAAGGCTTGGTCTTTCACTCACAAGATCAGGGGTCAGTAACTAGTCAGCACGAATTCCAATGTTGATTCCCTCTATGGCTGTGCATAAAATAGTTTAAATTCTATTGCTGAGCTTGCAAGTCTGCCAAAGGGCAATAATATTAAAAGCCCTACTAAATTAATGAAATTTGTGATAGTTAACTAATCCAAAGCAGATGGGAAGTACCACACAGCTGATAAAGTATTATTTTTATTTTTAAAAGACCAA